AGAGTCCAAATGTAACCGGTGTCTGAACCGTGATGTCACCAAGTATCAACCCCAACGATCTCCAAGTCTCCAATCCGGTGAGTACCACAGTCTCATACCACCGAAGTCCAACACTGATCTCTGTCCAACTAGTATAGGTCTCTGGTCTGAAGAAGAAGAAGAAGAAGAAGAAGAAGAAGAAGAAGTCTGAAGAGAAGAAGAAGAAGAAGAAGAAGAAGAAGAAGAAGAAGAAGAAGAAGTAGGAGCCGAGGAGGAGAGAGAGAGAGGGGACTGGCGAGGGGAGGGAGGAGAGAGGCCTCCGACTCCCGATACCTCAGGCGGCTATGGCCGCCGGTGCACTCAGTCTCCGCTGCTGCTGCTCGCTCGCTACTGCTGCGCTAATGCTGCGCTGCGCTGCTCCTCGCTGCTCCTGCGCTAAAGATAGCGCCAGCACTGAATAGCGCTGTACCATACCGTACCGGTAGAATGCCGGTAGGTCCCTCCTGGACTGAGGCTGGACCGGTTCTATATACCGGTGGGGCAGAGGCCGGCCTCAATGCTGCGAGGCCTGGCCGTGCCCTGAACCGTCCAGATGGACGGTTCAGCCCCAGCCGGCGGGCGGCAGCCTCAAGAGCGCCGCCAGGCCCAAACGGTAATGTCGTTTGGGCCTGCCCGTCGGGTCTGGTCCAAGGTGAGGCCTTTATGGCCTGTAGTACCCCCAAGGTCGGGCCTTTAGGCCCTGATGTGTCTCTCTAGCCCTAAGTCGGGTCCGGTAGGACCCGTGTGGCGTCGAAGATGTAACAATATTGGTGTTGCGGTGATGAGCGCTGGACTCAGGGGAACTTTGAAACACTTTGTATTCATATTTCTGATAATATAAACTGTGAAACTCGGTCCTCATCTTCTCTATCTTTGTCTATTGTCAGACTACTGTTCATTGTGTATGGGAGTACGATGCATGGCATGTACACACTTGCGTGAGATGGTCCCCAGGACCCATGCATAACCCTGGATAGCGAGGTTGTATGTTGATTTAGCAAACCAATGCCTTCAGCCACTCAGCCGTACCTCCCGGGAAAGACAGGATCTGAACCTGCGACTTCTGGCGTGACAGACCAGCTCTCTAACCAACTAAGCTATTTTCCCATCTGGGTAATAACGGACTTGAAGCGCTGGCTCTCTCGGAGTAAACGAGGTACTTTTTTTTAAATATTAATTAGTTCACTAATTTCGAATACCTTCTTATCTGCTTTGTCTTGAACTACCACCGCGTCTGTACGTAGCATGCTGAAGCTGCCGATGTTTGCTGGGGCAGATTGTGTAAATGCCAGGGGTGATGGCTAGAGGCTAGGGGTTGAAACGATGATTGGTTTTTATTATGGCAGTGGGTTCCCCTTGTCTATGGCCTTTTGGCTATGCTGGTGTCTGCGGTCTCTGTTGCCATCTTGAGATGATTTTCACCCCTGGCTTTGAACCAGTCGTTCCATCCAGTTTTTGAGAGTATTTAATTGCCTCTGACCAGTGATTTCCATGTCGGTCAAAGTCTGCGTACCTTCATTTTTCAACCTTTGAACATTTGTCTGAAGCTGTCGATAATTTTTTGAGCCGTGAAATCAAGATCATTTAAAAAACTGGTTACCTCGACATGCAGAAAAGACAATAAATCAAGGCGGTGTATCTTTGCATGTTCACGCAGAAGATTCACTCTCGTTTTCGTTTTCCGAAAAGAGAGAGAGAGAGAGAGAGAAAGAGAGAGAGAGAGAGAGAGAGAGAGAGAGAGAGAGAGAGAGAGAGAGAGAGAGAGAGAGAGAGAGAGTCCCTCTCTCTCTCTGAGAGACACGACGGGAATAAATCTTCCCGTGAAAGCGGGAAGATTCATTCCCGGTTTCTGTTTCCCCAACGGCTTCGGGAAACAGAAAGCGGGAATGAATCACGGGAAAATTC